GGGCCTTTGCAGCCGGCCTCCCACCCGCAGCAGCATCCTGCCCGCGCTTCTGACTCCCCAACGCACATCTCAGCGTTTTTTTTTTTACCTCTTGGTTTCGATTCCTGACTCACTCTGCTCGAAAAGGGCCCTAGCTGCTTCCTGTGCCATTAGTAAGGGACGTCGTATTTCTGTTTCTTATGGTGCCCCGTTTCCCCACCTCCAGACACACAGTGCTAGAAGTGGAGATGGATGGCCTTGTGAGTTGTGACTGAAGCGGACTCCCCTAGTGCTTTTCCTCTTGCCCCGAGGCTCCGTCACCCCGGAGTACGATTCTCCCATTCATGGGAAGCCATTAGACCACCCAGGATCTCCATGTTCTCACGGCGAGTGCTAATGGCAGAGAAACGGCTCAGCGCCATGCTCTTCCTCCAGGCCCCTGGTAGATGTTGGGAGACATGTGAGGAACTCGGAATGAAGTTCCCCGTCTGTTTGGATTCTACACAGAGCTGTAGTCAAGGGGCCAGCTTTTATTCCAACGCCTTGCACTTTGGTAAGATACGGTGTGTTACAATTTTAGGTAGACAACAAACTTTGGAAATGTATGATCTGTTTTTGTACTTGTGAAAATTTCAGGAAAGTTAAAAAAGAACAACCTAACACAAAATGTAGGATTGCAATCACTACATACTTGTTTTAGGGTATACATTGCAAAGAAATACGCGGGGGGTGGGGGGGTGGGGGGGTAGTCCTTGGCTTCCACATGGAGACCCAGATGAAACTCCTGGTTCCTGGTTTCAGATTGACTCAGCTCTGGCCATTGTAGCCATTTGTGGAGTGACTCAGCAGGTGGAAGCTCTCTGTCTCTCCTCTCTCTCTGTAAATCTGCCTTTCAAATAAAAACAAACTAATCTTAACACACACACACACACACCACACACAAAGAGTGTATAGACCTGTGCCAGTGTGTGGATCTCATCCACGGACCAGCACTCGTCCCCAGATCCTCAAGGAACCATCAGTCTGGGTTTCAGGTCACACACAATGTTGGAGAGGTGTGGTTAGTCATCTGGCTATGAATCTTTGGAAGTTCCTCCCCAGGCTAGGCCATCATCAGCTCCTCCTTCAAATTTCAGCCCCTGGGCCCAGCGTGATGGCACAAGTGGTTAAAGTCCTCACCTTGCATGCCGGGATCCCACATGGGTGCCGGTTCTAATCCTGGCGGCTCCACTTCCCATCCAGCTCCCTGCCTGTGGCCTGGGAAAGCAGTCCAGGACGGCCCAAGCTTTGGGACCCTGCACCCTCCTTGGAGACCTGGAAGAGGCTCCTGGCTTCAGATCGGCATAGCATCGGCCATTGCGCTCACTTGGGGAGTGAATCATCGCAGGGAAGATCTTCCTCTCTGTCTCTCCTCTCTGTATATCCACCTTTCCAATAAAAAAAAAAAAAAAAAAATTTCAGCCCCTGTGGTGCTTCAAGCCAGCAGTGACTAGGAATTTGAAAGGAGTTACCCAGGATTTCTGTGCAAGAGGAAGTCTTGATAAAAATCGGTTCCAGCTGAAGTGCTATGCCTTGTTTCTTTCTTCTTCTTCTTCTTCTTTTTTTTTTTATTTTTAAGATTTTTTTTTTTTATTGGAAAGGCAGATATACAGAGAGGAAAGGCAGAGAGGAAGATCTTCCATCCTATGGTTCACTCCCCAAGTGGCTGCATGGGCTGGAGCTGAGCCAATCCAAAGCCAGGAGCCACCTCAGGGTCTCCCATGAGGGTGCAGGGTCCCAAAGTCTTGGGCTGTCCTCGACTGCATTCCCAGGCCACAGGCAGGGAGCTGGATGGGAAGCGGGGCTGCCGGGATTAGAACTGGTGACTATATGGGATCCCGGTGCATTCAAGGCAAGGACCTTTACTGCTATGCTATCACGCCGGGCCCATGCAGCACCTGATGCACTATGGAGAGTGTGACAGGTCTGCCAGGAAGCAGCCCCGGGGCCTGGTAGTTAGTGATAGCAGGTAGTTTCTCAGGTTGTGTATTCGAGGAATTGATAATTGATGTTCAAAGAAGACAGTGAGGCTCATGACCCAGCGATCAAGGCCCTGTCTGCCTGCTGGTTCCCTGTGTTGAAGAAGAGAGTTCCATAACACAGCCAGTACCAAGGTCACACAGCCCGTACCAAGGTCACGCAGCCCTAGTTCACAGCCCAATTCATCGCTTCATGGCAGTGTGATGAAGACTGCTCCCTCAACCTCTCTGAGCTTTCATTTCCTCATTTATACAGAGGAGATTATTTCTCTACGTTCACAGGTAGATGTAGTAAGTGACCCAACTCGTGATTAGGGCTTAAAATCCGTGGTGATTGTGACCATTTTCTGGTCAAGTTCTGTTAGTTCCCAGCAAGCCCCTTGGCAAAGCCCCTCTGGTGGGAAGCACTGTTGTGAATTAGACATTGGGGCTGGGATCAGAACGCTGCCAACCACACCCCGTAACCTAAGGCACGGCCCCAGCATTCGGACTAATAATCAGCTTTCCTCACAACTTCCTGTCACTTGACTGTCACAAGAGGCAGTGAGACGGTGAAGGTGCATGGGATATTGAGACGGCATTATTTCCCAGAGGAGTTAAGCAACCTTCTGTGGTCACACAGCTAGAAGTGAAAGTAAGAATGAGCTCAGCTACAGCTGAGCCCGTGCCCTGGCCTCAGAGGGTAGATGCTGATGTCATTGGATGCCCACCCGTGCTTCTCCCAGTTCAGACCAGTTGTGTCCTTGGCAGGAGATAGCACGTGGAAGCACAAAGGAGTTCAGAACTCTGCTGAGAAGACGGCTGGCTGGCTCAGTGACTTTCCCACAGCTACCACTGTGCCCAGATGTGTCAAGGACTTTCACATGACAAGGGGCCATGGGGTGCAGAGGAGGGCATGACACTGCAGTCAGCTTGTGAGAACAAATCTTAGCAGTGTCATATCTGGGTGACAGAAAACTCCCTGGTCCAGTCTCCCTAGAAAAGGATAATGATAACAGAACCTTCCTTAAAGGGCTAGGTGCATTATTGCATGTAATAAGTTGAGAATGATTCCTGGCAAGTGACAAGAGATTATATACCTTTAAAATATTTATTTACTATTTGCAAGAGATCTTCCAATCACTGGTTCATTCTCCAAATAGCCAGAGTGAGTGAATCCAGTCCAGGCCAAAGCCAAGAACTGGAAACTCCACCTGGGTCTCCCACAGGAGTGGCAAGAAGGCAAGCACTCAACCATCTTTCGCTACTTCCCACATGTATGTTCAGGGAGCTGCATTAGAAGTGGAGCAGCCAGGACTCAAACTGGGGCTCATATGAGATGGGAGCTCTATTGCTTAAGACATCATGTCTACCCCCCTGGCCCCAAGAGATCCATTTTGATATTATTGTATTGTCTTTTTTTTTTCATAGTATAGGAGATGTTTGCATTTCAGAGAAATAGACCAAACTTGGTGTGCTACTGAATATCTGATGTCCCTGTCATCAACTACATGAGTGTGTGGCCTGTAGCCCAGAAAGGACCTTCCACCACTGGGACCCACTGGGCTGGATGGCACAGGAGCAAGCGAGCTGGGGCGTGTTCCTCCTGGCAGATATGGAAGGTTGCCTGCCCTTTCTCTTACAACAGGCACAGGATGTTACAGCGGAGATGCTGCCCAGGACACCTGCATCGGAGTGCCTGGGTTCAAGTCCCGGCTCTACTCCAGTCACTCACATGGGAAAGCCCCAGAGAGTTCAAGGCTCCTGACTTCTGCCTGGCATGTCCCTGGCTGGTATGAGTATGTGGGGCATGAACAGGTGCCTAGAAGATCTCTTTCTGTGTATCTGTCTCCATCTCTCTCTCACACTGCCTTTCAAATTAATAATAATAATAATAATAATAATAATAATAATAATAGTAGGCCCAGTGCAATGGCTCAATGGCTAAATCCTTACCTTGCATGCCTGGGATCCCATATGGGTGCCAGTTCATGTCCTAGCTGCTCCATTTCCCATCCAGCTCCCTGCTTGTGTCCTGAGAAAGCAGTAGAGGATGACCCAAAGTCTTGAGACCCTATACCCATGTGGGAGACCTGGGAGAAGCTCCTGGCTCCTGGTGGCAGGTTAGCTCAGCTTCACTCCACTTGGGGAATGAATCGGTGGATAGAAGATCCTTCTCTCTCTCTCCTTTTCTATGTAAATCTGCCTTTCCAACAAAAAACAAGTCTTTTAAAAATATATATTAACAAACACATAAATTAACAAAGTAACCCTTGTGGTCAATTTTTTTAAACCCACACTATTATTTTATCTAACATTAAAAAAAAAGTTTGTTTCCATGTACAAAGAAAGCAATCTCTTTTCCAGCTCTGGGAGTGAGAATCCATCTACATTCTGGACATAGCTGCTCCTGGAAGCAAGTGGAGCCCAAACAGCTCTCCCTTTCCTGGAAAGCTGGCAAGTTCAGAGGCAGCAGGAGTTTGTGACCCAGCCTAGTTGCTTCAACTCCTTGTTTCATACATGTCCAATCAGTAAGAGATCGTAGTTGGCAGTGCTCTTTGTGGTTGTGGTGTGGGGGCTGCAAAAATGGAAAATGATTAAACAGGGCATGGTATAGGCTAATGAACTGTAATGGCATTCATTTGAAAGGGAGAAATCTTAAATCCGTTGGTTCAGTACCCAGTTCGCCATACGGATGGGGGCTGCCAAGGCAAGAGCAGGGAACTCTTTTAGGGTATCCCATAAACTAGGGCCGGCCTCTGCTGTTCTCAGAGAGCTGATGGAAAGAAAAAAAGCTGGACGCCAGTGTGTGATCCCTGAGACACCAGAGTTACACGCGGTGTCCTAAGCCGCGGTGCGCAGGAGAAACGTGGCCAAAGAACAAAGGTGAGGACGGGGAGAGTCCCGGGGGAGGCGGCGGTCCTCTGCACACAACACCCTCACTCTGCTCTCAGCTCGCGCCCGTGCCGGGACGTGAGCACAAGTCAGGCGTTGCCCACGGATTCCGGGAACCCGCGCAGCTGACATCACTCAGCCAGGACTGGAAGAGGGGGGTCAGGGAGCGTGGTAGATACTGGGTTCCCGGAGCGCCAGATGGCAGTCCGCAGTGTGGAAATTAGGAAAAGGCGGCAGAAACGGCAACATTTTGCCCAGCGCGAGCTCTCAGCCACTGCCGCGGGCCTCCAAGGAACAGCCCCCGCGAAGGGCACGGCGTGACGCTAGGGGAACCCTGCACTCGGCCCGCGGAGTGCGCACAGCCCAGGCCAGGGCGTGGGGCGGTGCGCCGCAGCAGGGGCGGGTGCAAGGACCAGGGCGGGACCTTTGCGCTCGGTGCTTTCTCCCGGCTTTAAAGTGAGTTGGCTGCCCGCTAAGTCACAACTGGCCTTCCAACCGCCTGGGTGACTTTCGCCTTTCGCTCTGCATCTCCAGCTTCACCTGAACTCGAAATGGACCCCAACTGCTCCTGCGCCACCAGTAAGCCACGCGGAATTTCAAGACCTAGGGCTCTCCATTTCTCATCCGGACAAAAGATTTCTGGGGGTGGGAAGAGTTCTGTATGAAGTGGGCCGCCCCTTTGCTTTGCAGTGTTGATACTTTCAGTCGTGTCAAATCAATTGACTTCAGCATCTTTTAGAACATTTTCAGCTTGGCGATGCTTCCCATTTCAAGAGTGGGAGGATTTAAGCTGAAAACCTCCCCAGCTCAGGAGGTCAGAACTCCTTGGGCTAGGAGGTGACAGAGTCATTGCCTAGCAAGTTAGCCTTCCTGTCCCCAGTGAGGCAGAACTTGCAACCTGGCTGCGGTGCCCTGAGCAGAGCACAGAGCGCTCATTAGGCGACTACGTCGCGTTTGTTGTTCATCCCCAGTCTCTCTCACCCCTGCAGGTGACTCCTGCACCTGTGCCGGCTCCTGCACATGCAGGGAATGCAAATGCGCCTCCTGCAAGAAGAGTGAGTGTGGGGCTTTCCCTGGACTTCTGGGAGGGGGGACTGCATGGACGGGAGTGGGCGGCGGGGGGTGAGGGTGGGGAGACTTGTAAACATGAACAAATACTCCTGCTTGGTAAAAAGTAGAGCTTGTGCCAGGCCTGCTGTTTGGGCGGGCAGGTGCCTATTCAATCAGCTCTGACCTCTCCTGCTCTCCTATCTTTTCCCAGGCTGCTGCTCCTGCTGCCCTGTGGGCTGTGCCAAGTGTGCCCAGGGCTGCATCTGCACAGGGGCATCGGACAAGTGCAACTGCTGTGCCTGATGTGGGCAGAGCCTGGCCCCTGATGTACATAGAGCCATGCGGACAAACCTTGAGTACTCACCCCCTCTTCCCCTCCTCTCCCCATGGCCACACAAGCCGACCCCTTTGCTACATTCCTTGTTGTATGAAGTATGTGGGTGTTGACATAAAGAATAAAGGCTGTTGACTTTATTCTGACTCTGGATGCTTTTGTGTGCTTTGGGGAATAAGACATTGGGTTGGAGAATTGATTTAGCGGTGCAGAGCCCTGGATGGAGGGCTCTGGATGGAGACAGTGGTTCACAACACTTCAGGCCCCCAGGGGTCCTCTCTGAGCTTCTGGCTCCTTGGGCCTGACGGGGGCGAGTGGGGACTGCTCCTCTCTTCTCATGTCAAGGGAAGACAGCACAGAAATGGTGCAATCCCTTATTTTGATTTTCTGACTTTCCTACCCAAACTCAACCCCTCATCCAATTTTGGGTTTGAAAGAGAGGGCAGCACGTGGAGTCCCACTCCCCGCTTGCTGAGTCCTGCCTGGGGCTTCGCAAATGCCCTGGTAAAGGAACCAATTTACTTCCTCTCATGGCAAACCTAAATCTTGGCAAATAAAATGACCCTAATTATGGGGAGAATGAAACCAGAACAGCCTCCTTTTTTGTTTGTGGTTTAGATTCAGCAGGAAAATTTTTGGAAAATGGAGGAATCACAGGAAAATTAGAGCTGCCATCTGGGGACATCTGTTTATAAAGCATGCACACTGGGGGCAGGGCAGAGGCCACCATCGTGTGTGGACTTCACACCTTGGGCAGTGCTGGCCCAGATGTCCCTGGCAGTAGAGCCTGTCCAGTTGCCACTGACTGGATGGTTCCCTGCTGTGCCGTGGCTCTGTACCTGCTGGATCCAATCGGCCTCTTTCAAGTGCCAGCCCCTGGCTATTTCCAACCAGCAAAGTGGTGTGGTGTCTGCAAGGGCCGCCTGGCTTTTCCTGGCAAGATGAAGAAGACATTGGCACCACATGAAGGACTTGCTTTGGGCCCCTGCCAGAGGGGTGGTGGATTCTGCAGTTGAAAGGGCATGGTACTCATTAGCAGTGATGCCCGGTGCCTTCTAATTAGTGCCAACAGTTAGTGCCCCTGGCTGTTGGTTAGGATTTACTATTTGATGTATAGGCAAGAGGAGGACGAATCTCTTGGCCTCAAGTCAGGACTACACTTGCTCTGCAGCTCCTTGGGTGAAGGAGGGAAGCCCACACCAAGCACACAGGTTGCTGTCCAGCAGCCATGATGCACAGCCCAGTTCACCCCATACTGGCTGTGTGGCCTGGGCAAGTCAAGCGACCTCTCTGCGTGTCCTTGCCTTGCTTGTAGAAAGAGAGAGAGAGAGAGAGAAATAAACAGAGGCACTGATGATCGTTCTGTTGGAGAGAGAATCCTGATCTCTTGCAAAAAAAAAAGGGACAAATACTCATACACAGATGAAGCAGCTTGGCCTGCGTGCTTGGCTCTGCAGCACATGTCCTTCCTGCCTACCCCATGACCATGTCACCTGTGGTCCAAGAGACACTCTTCTTTAGTCTCCTCCAGAGTAAGAGGGGCAGGTTAGCAGGGCCTGGCTTGGGAGCAAGACCAGGTGCTGAACTCCAAGTGGTGTGTCTTGCAAGTAGTGTGATCTAACATATTAGCTATTATTTTATTATCTTTCTAACACAGAGGACACCTTCCTGGCTCTCTCTACATAGCCATGCTTGGTGTGCCTCTCTGTGTGTCCTCCACTGGCCTCATCTACCACACAAGTACATGATCTGTGGCCCATGGAAGTTCTCCATTATCCTACATGGAGGGTCTAGGCCTAGAGGCTAGGATGTTTGCATTCCACACCGGGGTACCTGGGTTCCTGGGGCTGTGTTAGCACACATTCTGGAGAACAGTGGGGATAACTCAAGCAGTGGGATTCCTGCCACCCCGAGGGGAACCAAGGCTGAGCTCCTGGTTCCTAGCTTCAGTCTAGTAGCCATTGCAGAAACAACACAACGTCATTCCTGCTACCACCTGTGCTGTTACATCACTTAACACTTTCCCTTGAAACTGCCATATTCCTTTAAATGTATTTCTACGAAAAGCAACCCTTGACCAATATTGAAAGTGAGAATGCATTCCCCTTTCAAATATGCAGTTACTTCAAAACATTTGTGGAAGACGGAATTAAAAGCTATGCCTAGGGGTGAGCATTTGGTAGGGCTTTAGGCTACCTGTCTCCTACTTCAAAGTGCTTGGTTCGAGTCTCTACTCTGCCCTGAATTCCAGTTCCTGCCCACGCACATCCTGGGAAGCTGTGGGTGAAGACTCAAGTGCTTGGGTCCCTGCCACCCCTGTGGGAGACCTAAACTGAGTTCCTACCTCCTGGCTTCAGCCTGGCCCAGCCCCAGCCGTTGCATGCATTTGAGAAATGAATTAGTGGATGAGACCATCTCCAGTTTTTGTCTAGGTAATATAAATAAATATTTTTTAAAGTTGTGTTTCCTTTGGTGCCAAGAATTTTTTTAAAATCTTAACATAGTTTTTTTTTTTTAATAATATGCATTTTTCATGAGCTTTCAGAAAACCCTTTTTATGCTTTCAGAAACCCTTCTAACTTTTTCTGCATCAAACTAACTGGCCTTATTATTCCCTTTCACCATGGATTTTTGGCATACCCTTGTAGCCACAAAATTTAATATACAAGTCAGCACCCCCCCCATAGCTCTTTTGTTTCTTCCCCCCAAGATTGAGCTGAATGTTGATTTGGCCTTAAAGATTTCAAGCAGCAGAGAGGTGCTGAAGTTTTCTCATTGGCCTTCTGTCCTTGCAGAGCCCACCAGAGACGTATCCGAACACTTCCTAGCCCTGTGACTCTGGGCTAGTAACTGACACTCCTCAAGCTGTAGCTTTGCCTTCAGTAAAAGAGGCTTATAAACACATAAATGGGGGTGGGGTGACAGCATGGTGGCTCAACAGGCTAAACCTCCTGTAAGTGCCAGCGCCCCATACAGGCTCCACTTTGTGTTCTGGCTGCTCCATTTCCCATCCAGCTCTCTGCTAATAGCTTGGAAAAGCAGTGGAGGATGGCTCAAGTCCTTGGGACTCTGCACCCACACCGGAGACTTGGAAGAAGCTCCTAGTTTCTGGTTCCTGATCAGCTCAGCTCCGGTCACTGTGGCCTTTTGGGAAGTGAACCAGCAGTTGGAAGATTTTTCTCTCTCTTTCTCTGTGTAAAATCTGCCTTCCAAATAAAAATAAATAAGTCTTTTTTAAAAAAGAAAAAGCATAAGCTGCATGGCTGGGAAGGTTCACAGAAAGAAAATGAATAAACCTCCTGACACTATGTATATGCTATGCAACAGCTAGGAATCAAGGTTAGCAATCACCTTTCTTGCTTTTTAATAGAATATAGGATCTGCGTATTATGTAAGGACAAAACTCTAAAAACTATCCTTCCCCTGGAGTAGCAAGGCTGGCTAGGCTGCGGGGAGCCCCTGGAGAATCTGGAAAGAAGAACCCTGGAAAGGAGGACCTGGACAAATACACCTACGCCACATTTCAAGCTTAGGGAATGGGTGGGAGAGAGGGCAAACCGTGGATCTGATTTCCTGCTTTGTAAGAAATAGAGCCAAGGACTGAGGAGGGGACAGGACAGACAATGCAAGGGAGGCAGAGGTCACGCACACGGCCGGACCTTTGCACACAACTCCCTCGCTGCGCTCCACCACCAGCACCCCAGCCCGGGACGAGAACAGAAGGTCTCCGGGCTTGCACACGGACTCCAGGAAAGGCGAAGCGTCGGCCACCGTGCCAGCGGGCGGGAATCGGGGAGGGGATGGGAAGGCCGCAGTACAGTCCAGGCGCGCTGGGCGCAGAGCCGCAAAAGCCACAGACCTTGCCCCCGCGGTGCGTAATGCGCTGCGCTCCGGGAATCGTGCGCCCGGCACGCACGGTGAGCTCGGCACCACCAGAGGGCCGTGCGCCGGAGCCGGGGCGGGTGCAAGGGCTGGGGCGGAGTTTTTGCGCCCGGGCTCCCTCCCGCGGCAGTTAAAACGAGCTGGCGTTGCCGTGACTCCAGCGCTCCTTCCAGAATCCCATTTGGAGTCTTCGCTTCTCGCCTGAAACCTTGGACCTCGCTTCGCTCGAGATGGACCCCAATTGCTCCTGCTCCTCAGGTGAGGGACGCTGGCTGTGGGCTTCGGGCGCTCATTCTCCCAGCTCTGACAGTCCCGGGTTAAAGGAGTTACGTTTAGATGCTGAAGTGGACTCCCTGCAGCCGCACGCTTCTTGGGGCCTCCCAGAGGCCTGGGATGTCATTCAGTCCGATCTGGAGGAACTCTGGGTGGCTGGGAAGCAGTCCTTGTCCCTGGTTCCAGTATTACCGAATGAACTGGAACCTGGCCCCGTCCTCGTGGGATCCTTGCCCAAACTCTGGGACCCTGCTTGTGTTGCTCATCCCCAGTCTCTCTCACCCTTACAGGTGACTCCTGCACCTGTGCCGGCTCCTGCACGTGCAGGGAATGCAAATGCGCCTCCTGCAAGAAGAGTGAGTGTGGGGCTTTCCCTGGGAAACTGGGTTGGGGTAGGGAGTAAGGGGCAAGGCTGGGGAAGGGGTCCAGGGCTGAGGAGGCAGGAACTCAGCTGCCCGTCATCCCGATTTGGGATTGGCACCTGGAAGGCTGTGGAGATGGGTGTGTCCCAACTGCTTACTATAGAATGGGGAACCGAGGCCCAGAGGGGTTGTTAATGGTCGCCAGGGGCCGAAGGTGCACCTTGGTCCCCTGTGTCCTGAGAGAGGCTTCCCTGGAGCATTTGGATGCACTTGACCCTGAGCAACACGTGGAGCTCCGGGGGGCTTCCCTGGACCTCCCAGAGCTCGCACTGCCCTGGGGTGGACCCTTTGGCAAATGTTGAGGGGCTTCTCAGATCACTAACTGGTTTATTTGGCATCTCCACAAGTCCCAGACACCCTGTTGCCCCCTCTTCAGGCTTTGGTTGTCTCTTGGGCTCAAGCAGAGCTGTGTGGCATTGTGATTGTGTGACCACCAGCCCAAGGAGCCCCACACCTACCCCGCTGCTTCTGACCAGACATGCCTTCTAGGACTCAGCGGTCTGCGGGGCTGAGGGCTGAGATTGTGCCAGGCCTGCTGTTGGGGCGGGCAGGTGCCTGTTCAATCAGCTCTGACCTCTCCTGCTCTTCTATCTTTTCCCAGGCTGCTGCTCCTGCTGCCCTGTGGGCTGTGCCAAGTGTGCCCAGGGCTGCATCTGCAAAGGGGCATCGGACAAGTGCAACTGCTGTGCCTGATGCGGGCAGAGCCCGGCTCCCTGATGTACCCATTGCTTTTTCTATGAAAGATGTGAATGACAATAAACCCTTTCAGACTTGTTTTGGCCTCATGTGCTTGTTGGTGTATGGGAACAGGAGACTTGGTTCTAGCTGGGGTGTAGGGGAACTCGGGCTGAGGGAGGTTGCAGGGCAGAGGGGTGGGGGTCCTACAGCCTAGTTCACCCTTGGCTGTCCTTTGTGAGCTGTGGTGGAGAGGGTTTCTCTGCCTGTTTCTAGAAGCAGCTGGCAGTGCTGACAGTGTCTGAGTGCATTTGCCTGCTGTCTACGGTGCACCAAGTTTACACAGACAGGGATGTGGTTCTCTGGGAATTTTCAGGGTGCGGGACAGATGATCATGGGGCAGGGATGACGATGCCACTTGGAATGCCCATGTCCTGCATTGCAGAGCCTGATTTACGTCCCAGCTCCTTGCTTCTCATTCAGCTTCCTGCCAACGTGCACCCTGGCAGGCAGCAGCTGATGGCTGAAGTAGGCAGGATCCTGTCACCAAAATGGGAGACCAGGAATGACTTCTGAGCTCTTGGCTTCTGCTTGGCCCAGGCCTGGCAGTTGAGAGCATTTGGAAAAACAGAACCCATGGACAGAAGTTGTTTTTGGAATGCCTCTGTGCCTTTTATATATATATGAAATTTGGTAAGAAAGGAAATGATGGCTATAGCTGAGGAGTCTATGGGGGGACTGAAGTTATTCATTGTAATGGTGACTAGGGCCTGGTGCAGTAGCCTAGCAGCTTAAGTCCTCATCTTGCATGCACTGGGATCCCATAAGGATGCTGGTATGTGTTTCAGTGGCCCCATTTCCCATCCAACTCACGGTTGTGGCCTGGGAAAGCAGTAGAGGATGGCCCACAGTCTTGCACCCATGTGGGAGACCCAGAAGAAGCTCCTGGCTGCTGGCTTCAGATTGGCTCAGCTCCAGCCATTATAACCACTTGGGGAGTGCATCAGCGGATGGAAGATTTTCCTCTCTGTATATCTGACTTTCCAATAAAAAATAATTTTTAAAAGATTTATTTTTATTTTAAGGCAGATATACAGAGGATGAGCGACAGAAAGGAGGATCTTCAGTCCAATGGTTCACTCCCCAAGTGGCCACATCAGCCGGAGCTGAGCCAATCTAAGCCAGGAGCCAGGAGCTTCTTCAGGTCTCCCATGTGGGTGCAGGGTCCCAAGGCTTTGGGTGGTCCTTGACTGCTTTCCCAGACCACAAGCAGGGAGCTGAATGGGGAGTTGGACTGCTGGGATTAGAACCAGCACCCATATGGGATCCTGACGCGTTTAAAGCGAGGACTGTAACTGCTGTGCTATTGCGCCAGGCCCCAATATTTTTTTTTTTTTTAATAAAGATGACTGTATGCCTGGAAGTCTGGCCCCTCCAGAGACTCGCCTGCACCCTCTTATGAGAACACTCTGCTTTGTGAAACACCAAGAAGCAAACAGGAGATAGACAGTTCCCGGGAGTATGGAAGATTTCCGGGACAGACAGCTGCCGTTGAAGCATTCTGTACACGACTGTCTGCACGGAAGGGATAAGGCTAGAAGCCTGTGCTTCTACAGTGTCCATCTTCACTACCTGCTTTCTGCTTTGTGTCACGTACATACTTACTATAAAACTCTCCACTTATTTTGTTTGGAGTGCTTCTTTAAATGCAAACCTTAGAGCCATGTTCCTCACAGCCTGGGCAAGGCCCCATGCGTGGGCAAGCAGTGATCCTGTGGAGTGGGGAGCAGCACCCATTTCCCTTGCAGGGTGGAGAGTGGGGACCACGTCCTGACTTGGGAACCTCCCAGCCAGCCGCTCAGCTGAGTCTTTGGGTAGGACAGGGGGCAGTTAAAAACACGCGCAGGCCAGCATCTCTGTTCTTCCCTCCCAGCGCCCACTCAGTTTCCTAGGTCTAACGTGGGCCCCAGGTGACACTGGGGATGGCTCCCAGTGAGACTCAGTGGGAATCCTCAGGGGAAAAGAAATGGCCTCTGTTGTGTCTTTTCTACTTCCCAGGGTGGGCAGTATTTCCGCCCCAGCTGGTCCCTAGAGCAACTTGCTGATGTGTGGCCACTGTACCAGTGGTTGAGGGGGCCCAGGAGGTGCCCAGTTCTTGTGTGGCTGTGAAAGGAGAGCTGTGCAGTTTGAGCCCTCGAGGTATGCCCTCATAGCGACCAACCCAGGCTCGGAGGACAGGCCCAGATCCATGTGAGGCCTCACAGTGGGGAGATTTCATCCCAGCGTCTGGCCCGGACCTCTTGGGCATGGGATGGGTGTGACATGGGCACTGTCCCCTTTGCTTCTGACTTGGTCCCCAGCCACTGCTCTTCCATAGCTCCATGCTGGGCAGATGCAGCTGCCACACGTCTCAGGGCAGCAGCCCATGTCCAGTAGACCTGGTGAGCAGGATCGTCCACGTTGCAGCTTCTTCTAAAAAAGTTATTTTATTGTTTTATGATACGGTTTTATAGGCTCTGGGATTTCCCTCCCCCATCTCTAAGTCCCCATTCCCCTGATGGTTTCCCCTATATTGTTACAACAGTATAGTCCTTCATAAACAGTCCTAAGTCCATCATTCTGCTATTTAAGTGTATCCTGACATCGTCTAACTCGCACCTTCTGATTTGCTAAGCCATGTGCAAGGTGGCATCTCCTTGCTCCCATCACCCCTCACTGCCGCCCATGCCCCTGGGGTGGGTGGGGTGTGATCCTCATGGGATGACTGTTGGAAGGATTAACTCATAAATTTTAACACAGTCTGATGTGGCATGCCTTGTTTCCTTGCACAGGTATGCGTGCCAACTACCCTGTGGTGAAACGGCCTGGCAAAGCAATTCAGAGTGTCGGCTCTGGGGCCAGGCTGCCTGGTGGGAACCACAGCTCCACAGCTCAGGCAAGGGATGTGGCTTCTCCGTGACTCATCCGACAGGTCTGGCCAGTCATGTGCCCAGCCCCTTGGCTTGCTGTGAGGTTGAGTGTATCTAGCACTGGCCAGGGGAACACCCCGAGGGCTTGCTAAGTACTGCCTCCCTCTGGGCCAGGGCTGGTGTTTGCCCATCAGTCAGTGAGCCCACCAACACTCTGCACTTCCTTCGGTGGGCACTTACAGGACAGCCCACTGGGCACAGAGAGCAGGAGAATCCACAAATAAAACCCAAGACCTTGGAGGGGGAGCCCAGGCACATGCTTGAAGAGTTTGTGGAGTGATTCTTTTGCCACTCCCAATGCAGCTGGATGCTAGTGGGAGTAGCGGGGAGACCCAGGCCTGGCTCTCCAGGAATCCAGGAGACTGCAGCCAGGACCTTTCAGCTACCACCCAGCCTGGCAAGGCAGGAGCAGGGGGTGCACATTCTGTGACCAGCTCTCCTCCCTCTCTCATCTCCCGCCAGGGCTGAACTCCATGGGATGCTGTTCTTCCAGCTTTCACTCACTCCCTCTCCCCACAGGCAGGTGGGTATCCATGTGACACCAAACTGACATGCAGGGTGGGACAGTGTTAAAGGATGTCATTACAGGCGTGGGCACTGCCCAAGTCTCTGGGTACTCTCCCTGCCAAGATCAGACCTGTGGATCCTGCACCCCAACTCGGAGGCAGCCCCTCGGCTCCTGTGTCCTTGCTAAGATCACTTCTTCAGCCTCTGCCTGCTCACCTTCTTACAATGAGCCTTTGCTTGATGTTCTGGCAGGCAGTGAGGGTCTGCATTACAGACTTACCTTTGGCAGGAGACAGGGATGGGGCTTGGTGGCTCTCCCACAAGATCACCAGGCCAGCCTCTTGGCCAAGTTTGATCTCAGTAGACACGCCCCTTCCCCACCATGCAGGACCTGGGTTTCAGACTCTGAGGGCAAAACCGGACCAGGGGGTTGGAAGTCACCCCTGCCGCAGGCCATGTTCCTGCTTGCTTGGTCTTGTGAGCTTGCCCAGCAGGAGCATCAGTCCAGGCAGATGGGTGCTTCCTGCCCTTGGGGCATGTTACTCTCTGCTCTGGGAAAACTGACTTTGCTGGCAGGAATTCAAGTGCATGCCAAGGGCAGAGGCAGCTCTTTGGAGTCCTTGAGGCTCCACAGGGCTGGGTTCCCCGTACAGACCAAACCAAAGAGAACAACACAAAGCAGAGTCCCCCAGGCTGACCTTGAGGAACCGAGACCACAGGTGTGGGACTCTTGGTGCCCTCCCCCACCACAACCCACAGCCCAACCCCTCCAGACAGAATCAGAACATCTGGAGATCTGGGAAGGCAGTCTTACTTGAGCAATTCTCAGATCACAGGGAGCCATGGAAGGTTAAGGGGCAAGGGGAGCACAAGGTTGGGGTTCTAAGCTGCTTTCACTGTGCAGGGTCTGTGACCAAGACCCATTGTCCTCTATGAATAAGACCATCTTTGTCCTCCTGGGGTCTTCAGCCCATTGCAAGAGGGTCAAGGGTGTCCCTTCCAGCACCCCTACCGCTGCCAAGTCCCTGGGTCCGTGCGTTCCTCCAGGATGACTGCCCCAGCCCCAGGTTGGTCTCCCCACATCTATTCTTGCCCCAGCAGCATCTTCTCAGCCCACAACCTGAGGATTGCTTGACTCAAACCTTCACCCTGGTCTCCACCTGTGAGTCAGTGTCCTCCCCGGGCACCTACGGCTCTACACACTGGGGAACTGTTGTCACAGCATTGACTTCCTTCCTTCCCTCCTTCCTTCCTTCCTTCCTTCCTTCCTTCCTTCCTTCCTTCCTTCCTTCCTTCCTTCCTTTCTCTCTCTCTCTTTTTCCTAAGATTTACTTATTTTTATTGGAAAGTCAGATTTACAGAGAAAAGGAGAGACAGATCTTCTCATCCATTGGTTCATTCCCCAAATGGCCGCAATGGTCAGAGCTAAGCCATTCTGAATCCAGGATTTTCTTCCAGGTCTCCCATGCAGGTGCAGGGACCCAAGGCTTTTAGCCATTCTCCACTGCTTTCCCAGGTCACAAACAGGGAGCTGAATAGGAAGTGGAGCAGCCAGGACATGAACCAGCACTCCTATGGAATCCCAGTGGATGCAAGGTGGGGATTTAGCCACTAGGCTATCAC